TCTTCTTCTTCTTCTTCTTCTTCTTCTTCTTCTTCTTCTTCTTCTCTTTTCTTTTCTTTTCTTTCTTTCTTTCTTTCTTTCTTTCTTTCTTTCTTTCTGGTATTGGAGATTGACCTCAGGACCTTGTATTTGCCCAGCAGGTGCTTATATTATTGAGTGATCTCCCTGGCCCCTGTATTTCTTCTTTTGAAAAGTGTCTATTCATTTACTTTGCCCTTTTGTTTACTGGATGATTTGCTTTTTGTAGTCTAATATTTTGAGGTAAGACACTCCTGTGCCTGGATAGGCAGAATCAATATCATTAGCATGGCTGTATTACCAAAAGAAATATAAATTTAACACAATTCCTATCAAAATACCAACATTTTTCACAGAACTAGAAGAAATAATACTAAAAGTTGTATAGATTGAGAAGAGACTCAAAATGGCCAAGCAATGCTAACTAAAACAAGCAAATCAGGCAGCAAAACAATTCCAGATTTCAAATAATAATATGAAATTACAGTAACAAAAACAGCATGCTACTAGCAAAAACAGAGATAAGACCAATGAAGAGAAGACACAGAAACAACCGCATGAACCTTCATCCATCAGATTTTTGACAAAGGGGCTAAACACAGGTTAGAAACAAGATAGCCTCTTTAACAAATGGTTCTGGAAAAACTAGCGATCTACATGCACAAGACTGAACTTAGACACATCTCTCATTCTATATTCAAATCAAATCAAAATGAATTGAAGATCTATATGTAAAAACAGAAACAACGGAACTGCTGGAAGATAAAACAGAGAAAATACTTGAAGCTATAGGCCAAGGCAAGGACTTCTTGAACAGAAGAAATAATAACCAAGCACAAGAAATTATACCAAGAATCAATAATGAGAGTGAAGTAAACTGAAAAGCTTCAGCATAGCAAAAGGCACACTTGCCCTTTCAGAGGAGAAGCTATGACAGCTGATACTCATCAATTAATTCATTAGCCAAGAAAGGAAAAATGCAGTGGGAATCCCAGGCTAAAGTCACTTGCTTTGAGACCAGACATCATATCTACTCTGAGCTTTCAAAAGCACCCCGAACCATCCTTTCCTCTAAACTGTCCTCTCATTTCCTCTTAAATGTCTGTAATCTCCTGTCAGATGAACAAACCCAAATGCTCTTTGCTCTTGGTTTTCCAAACCTCTTGCCTCCTTTCTTGAAGTTTCAAGTACCTGCAGGCAAATAACTTTGTCTCCTGGCCTAGCAGAGCCATCTACAGAGTAATCCCCATCCTGGCGAGACTGTTGCCGGCTCCGGGTTTTCCCAACAGCCACAGGGTTAACAGCCTCAAGGTGTGAGGGATTAGGCAGCATTGTCACGTGGAGTGGATGATGGGTTCCAAAGTCCAGATCCACAGAGGAGGTCAGGTGAGACAGGACATCTCCAGTGGCCAACGAATGTTCTGGAAATTCGCTTAAGCCTCGCATTTTCCGGAACATTAGCTATTATGAGGACAAATATAAGTTAGAGTGTATTTTGTCACAAAGTAGACTAGAGAAAAGGTGGTTAGTTTAAATAATGCAATAAAAATAAATTTTATATAAATGTTTCTGCAACTATTGCAAACATGCATTAGTTAAAGATAGGTATAGACTTCTAACTTCTGGGTTTCTTTGAACTATTTAGTAAGTTCAACATCAAATGAAATGCTAAAATTTGAAAAGGGGTCTAATGTGAGGCAAATGGTGAGTAATCTCTGCCTTGTAGTAAGCTAGATGACTTTTATTTTTTTGAGATGGGTCTTCCTGTGTAGTTCAGGCTGGCCTTGAACTCACTGTGTAGCACAGGCTGGCCTTAAACCCACAGCAATCTTCCTTCCTCAGCCTCCCCAGTTTTGGGATTATAGGTGTACTTCACCATGTCTGACATTAATAACTTAAAAAAAAAACTTCTTGAAAAACACCTGTCAGAATATATTTGCCAAAAGATCTTTGTAACAGTTTTGTTACAAAGGAGGAGCGGATTCCAATAGGATGGAGCACAACATCATGTAGAGAGAGGATAATGGACACTACTCAGCTTGGGTCAGATGTAAAGCCTCTACCTTCCAATTTGCAAGGTTTCTGTATAAACATTCTCCCACTTCTTAGTTTTCTATGATGTAGGTCCTACCCATTTTCAAAATGTAAAGTGTTAAAGGTCCTTAGCTAGTGAGTTTCAAATCAAGGCATTTACTATAATCACTGTATTATTCTAACATATCCAAAATTGATCCAAAATTTTCTGTCTTTTTTTTTTAACTTTTTATGTATTTAGTACAGGGTCTACAGGGTCTCACTACACAGAATAAGACTCGTAGCAATCCTCCTGTTTTTAGCCTCCCAAGCACTAGGATTATAGGTGCATGTCACCATGCCCAGTCTCAATCCAAATTTTTCTTTAGCTTCCAAAAGCTTCTCATTGACCTATCTACAAATGGGAATATATAATCACGCAGTATAGGCATATATGTTTCTCACAAACATGATAATTTATAATAGTTTCTGCATGCTTTGTCAGGGAAATTTAGGAATTTACATACCTCTCTGTAATCTTTTCAGTCTATATTCTACCTTTTCCAAGGTATTTGTCTTTTAAAAGCTGTTTATCAATGTAATAACATCAGAACTGAGGTATGAATAGAAGTAGTGAGTATAAGACTCAGACTCGACAGTATGTGTGAAGACGTGTGTGTGTGTGTGTGTGTGTGTGTGTGTGTGTGTGTTTTAAGGGACAGAAACTTGCTTCATTGCCAAGGCTGACCTTGAACTCCTGGACTCAAATGATCCTTTTCCCTCAGCATCCCAAGAAGCTGGGACCCCAAGCCTGTGTCTCCACACCCATTGAACACAACATACTTTTTCTAGATCTTCATGCTACTATGTACATTATTCTTTTAGCTTTGTTCACTGCACCTAATGAGTTAAATATCAGATCTCTATGATGTTACCTACTATAAAAATCTTCATTCTTGACTTAGGACTACAAAACAGCTGTGTTAGACCAACAGGAATCCCATGATCCATTCACTTTTAAACATTGTGGCTCTTCCTACTACCCATTTTTTTTCTGTTGGGATTATACTTGGACCCTGCACAAGCTAGGAAAGTGTTTTACCAGTGAGCTATATCCACAGATCTTGGGTGGTCTCAAGAGAAAATGTACTACTACTTTTTAGCACAATCTATTAACTATATACTCAGCAAATAATGGATCCATGGGTTCCAATATTATAAGGTAAAATGATGCAAATTTTTGTGTTATTTGAACAGTTGGTATTGAATGAAAAAACATGCTGCAAAGAACAGAATTTAGCTCTATATACATCATTCTTAGGATACAAACCAAAATTAAACTTCCCTGAGAGAATAAAGTATCTTGTATATTCTATACAAGAATATACAGGACAGCTGGGCATGGCGGTACACATCTGTAATCCCAGCACTCAGGAGGCTGAGGCAGGAGAATCACTGTAAGTTCAAGGCCAGCAGTGGCTACACAGTAAGTTGAAAGCCAGCCTGAACTAAGTAGTGAGACTTTGTCTCAAACAAACAAACAAAATGCACAATAAATTAATCCAAATACCATTTCTGTCAGCATTAATTTCCATCCTCTTAAAAAGATATCTCATACATGAAATACCTCCATCAGCTTTACATTTTTACTGTTGATTTTATAATTCTGGCAATAATATAGCAAGTAACTTTACCTCAGGAGGCAAATGAAGAAGGCCTGCCAGCAGATTCAGCCTCCCTCTATGGGGCATCCCAATGATGACATCGGTTACTCCACTGTATGCTGATGCTTTCAGCAGCTCGTGGAAGAAGCCCATCATGCTTTCAGCCCCTTCGCCTCCATAACGCTTCACCGTGGCAAACTTGGTGGCTAAGAAGTGATCAAACTCCTATGGAACATCCCAAAGACATATCAGCAGCTGGAAGCAGGCTAGTGGCTTGGGTGAAAGGCAGATGCATTTCTATGTGCTGTTAAAGACACATGTCATTCAGGTGCCCTTCACTGGGTGTGATTCCAGAGAGAAATGGGCAACCCAAGGTGGCTCTGACCTGCAACAGGGGCTGTAGGGAAGGACCCGAGGAAGGGGTAACATGCTTGTGAGACTCCTCTGTAGTGTGTGTTCTAGACGAGAGTCCAGGCCTTAAATCCCTATTGGCTCTCTCAAGACTTTGGTGTTAGCAGAGGAACCCATAGTATTACTTTGCTAAGGTAGGAGAAACCTTCCTGTTCTTGTGCGGCTGCTCTGTGATTATAGCCCTGGTAGAATTTGATTCTGCTAATCTGTATTGAGAGCATCTTGCATGCCCACATAGTATTTTAACCACTTTGAAAAAGAAAAATAAATTGAATCAATTAGGCAAGAGGGAGGGCTATAAGTCAGAGTCAATGCCTTCACTTCCACTCTGAAACAGCAGTGCACAGTACCTTTGTTGGAAATGGCTTAATCTATTCCACTGATAGGAGCTGCTACTTTTATACCTGAGATTCTAGCATTAGTTTTGATAGATGTTTTCTCTCTTCTGGGGTAAATATTTCCTTTTTCAGCTCTTCAAACCTCTTGGCAAACCAGTCTTTCTCCTCCTGGCTCTGAAGTTGGGCAGTTTCAACAGAAATTGGTCCACAGTAGATTTGGCTGAGATAGGTTAATACTTCCTCAAGAGAGGCCTCCTCCCTCCCCATGTTCAATAATCCTTGAAACAGAATTAGAGACATCAATATAAAGAATGATCAGCGGTGTAGCAATGAATTCTGGAATACACCAAAACACCATAATTCCTTCAATTCAGAGCACTTTACTGTTAATGACTTGAATCATTATTAAGACTTATTTACGTCCCTTCTGCTCTCCCTCTCTCTTTTTCTTCCTTCAGGTACTGGGGTTGGAACTCAGGGTCATTTTCATGTTTTGAAATGTGCTGTACCACTGAACTCAACACTCAGTCTTTCTACAATGCCATAATAAATAAGAGACAAGCCCTCAAGATCAGCATCAGTGATCCAGGGCTAAGTTTTTTTTTTTTTTTTTTTTTTTTTTGTTATGGTTTGTTTTCTTTTATTTCTTAGGCAAGGAAAGAAAATCAGGTAAAGGGATGTGGGTTTTGGGATGTATTTTAGTTACTTTTTACTCATTGCTGGGATAAAACATCCAAAACCTAAAATGAAGGAAGGAAAGGTTCATTTAGCTCAAAGTTAGTGGTGATTTTAGTTTATATTCAGCTGGATCCAAGGCAGAGTAGCACAGGACAGCCATTCTTGGTGGTAATGGAAAACAATATAGAGCAAAGGGAGCGGCAGCAGCAGGGGCTACTAGTAAGCTTCTCTCCCCTCTTTACATTATATGCAGGCTACTCTGGGCTGGGGCTGTACCACTCATACAATGTCTATGCCCTGCTCTTGCATAATGAGGATGTTTACAAAGTAAGAATCCTGGCTCTCTGATGAGTCACTTAATTAAACTGTTAAAATTCTCAAGTGGACACAATGTGTCAACCAGTGTAAGATGGAAGCAAGACCTGGATCCTTAAGATCTCTGAGTCCCTTTCCCTAAGTCTGTAAAAGAAAGAAGACAACTATTCTATAGTGTGTGTGAAAATGATTTGACATAATATGTACAAAGCAGGTGGCACAGAACAGGAGGTTGCTATGTTTTTAATGCAGAGGAAATGGGTCCTTTCAGAACATGCTAGAACCTCAGGACTGATCTTGGCTGATGGCCACTGAACAGCACAGACGCCTCAGCTTCCAGAGTACCCAGGTTCTTCAGTCATGGGCAGGGAATCCCTGGGGGCTCTGATCTCCACACAACTCCCTTACCTGTGGTGCGGAAGGGGCCTTGTAGGGTCTGCACAAGGGCCTGGATCTCAGGCACACTGTCTGGAGGGGTGTGTCCAGCAAGGAGGGGGTTGATTTGAGCAGCTTTATGACCATGCTCACAGTAGGCTGTCACCAACCTAGCAAGGCCATGATCAACTAAAAAAAGGAAAGAAAAAGTACTGTTAAGTAGATGTCCACAGACTATGAAAACCATTTTCCAAAGATCTTGCAGATTTACATATTTTAATGCACGTTTTACAGCCCCCCCTTTGCCAGTAGTTTCACAATAACACTTATCAGAATGCAGTAAACCTATTTTGTTAAATTTGTCTCATGACAGCTAACAAAACAGAATAGGACCACAAATAAATATGACTAAACATTAAAAGGAAACACCCCAAATTGAAAGTTACTCTCACAATGTTGAGATTATATTCACCATCTTCTTTCTTTGTTATCTGAGCTATCTTACGTTAAAAAATAGATACAGGTAAAACTATAAAATCAATATCACACTGTCCTATTTCTTTTTTTTTTTTTTTTTTAAACATTTATTTATTGTGTGTGTGTGTGTGTGTCCAGCTCAGCCCACCAGGGGGCGAGGCTGGCTGGCATGTGGTGCTGGGGGATCGAACCGTGGTCCCTGTGCTTTGCCAAGCTTGTTCCATGTAGGTGCTTTAGACCACTGAGCCATCTCACCAGCTCCCACACTGTCCTATTTCTTAAAGACTTTTGGTACAGTTATTTTATAAAATTGTAAACTAGGAAAGGTCCATAATTCTTTGTCATTCACACAATGAAAAGAAACTTCCACAGAAAGCCAAAGATGAGTGATGGCTTGCTCTCCTTAAGCAGGGGGTGGAGGGTTATCTTTGCCTTTCAATGAATCCAATTCTATCTTAGACCATTTTTTTGAGAGGCATAAAGAGATTTATTAGGTAGAATTTAAAATGTACACACACAGGGCCAGACATGGTAGCATTCCCCTGTAATTCTAGCACTTTGTAATCACAGCATTTGGGAGGCTGAGGCAGGAGTATCACCACAAGTTCAAGGTTAACCTGTGCTGGCCTTGAACTACACAATAAGAACTACACAATGACCCTCTCAAAAAACAACAACAACAACAACAACAAAAAAAAATACACAGCACAGCCTGAAGGCCCTGAGGACAGGAAGGTTATGGTTAGGGATTGAGGTTTTATGTAGACTTGGGGGTATCTTCAAGATGAGTGAGCCAGCATGTGCATTCCTAGTATCTTACACCATTTTATATTGATCCCCAAAATGTTTTTCTCTTATTTTCCTAATGAAGATCTTAAATTTTGAAAAAAAATTTCTTCATACTCATACTTAATGAACTTTCAGTTTGTTAATAGTATTCTTGTACAAACTCACCACAAACCCTAAAAATCAACAGATCTACTATTGAGGGCATAGTTTTTAGCAATTAAAAATTTTTGTGTATTTTCAAACTCCTCCAAGTGTTAGCATATTTTTAAAATTTCACCTATTTTATGAACAAGTAATGTCATGCAGTTATTTTAGAGCCACATATTTGCTTAGATTTGTATCTTATGCTTGTCACAGGATTAGTGAGATGTATGGAATATTACGGGACATATTTTCCTCAATATAGCAGTTAGCTGGATACATAATATGTCAATATTCTGTTATCCTTGGTTTATTTCCTGAGTCATGGGTGCTTGGCATATCCCTCTGATGGAAGAGATACACTCTTATTTTTCAAATAAAAATCCTGGGTTTATTTTGTTTTTTGCTTTTGAGACAAGGTTTCACTGTGTAGTCCAGGATGGCCTTGAGCTCACAGCCTCACCCTACTTAGTGCTGGGATTACAGTCCTATGCCACCCCTCCCAGCTTCTCTGATTGCACAAAATAGCCAGAGTTGGTCTTTCACTTCTGACTAAAATAACCTAACTAATACAAACATGTTTTTTTTTTTAAATTATGATAGGAATACCTGCCAACATCAATTACTTTATTCTCTGCTATAAGTAAATGTGGTAGGGGTCATTGAATAGATTTTATTTTTAAGAAGAAAAGTGCTCATGTTAGCCAGCATGGAATACACTGCCAAATAACTGAAACTAAATCGGTGTTTAAATTAAAAGTCAGTATAGGTATTTTTGATCATCTGGTCAGAAACAGCCAGCCTCCCATCAAAATACTGCAGAGCACATCCACAGATCATTTTCATTCAAGACTACAGATGCTCAAAGCAAGTTAGCACTAGAAGTCTCTAAAGATATTAGCGACTTCAAGAATGGTAATTTCACAACTAAATCTCTTTCAACTCTATTAAAGTGAGCCGGCTGTGCCCAGCTGCACCTCAAGAGCTTAATATGTAACCAATGGGGAAGGTCAATTGACTTTGTACCAGAATACCACATCCTGAGGCATAGACTCAGATCTAGTCCAAGCAAGAGTGTTCACCTTTTATCACACTGTCTATTCCCATCTCAATTATGACAGTTTCTGAAAAGAAATCTGTTTTACCAGATATGTTCCTTATAAAATAAAACTACAAGAAACTTTAAATAGGAAACTTATTCTGATTCCTTCAGGGTTTTCATGTATCATTTCTTAAATCATCTCCAAGATAGATGAGTCTGGGTCATGAAGCAACAATAAATAAATACTGAGCATTTATTGAGCACTAACTTTCAGTGTACACCCTGAACTGAATCCTTTTTACACATACTGTCTTACTTCATCTTTTAAACAACACTCTATCAATGTTTTTATCTACATAAGGGTATGTTGAGCCCAAAGAAAGAAATGACTTGGAAAAGTAGTCCAAAATAAAAAAGCTGGAATTTGAACTCAAGTGTGTTTGTCTTCAATTCTGTTGTTCTGTCTGCTATAATACAACAAAAGTTGGAAAGGGCAGTCCTGAGCCTATAGCAAAAGGGACTGGGGAACTAGATGTCAGTAAGGCATTTAAAAAAAAAAGTCATAGAAATGTGGCTATAACTCAGTAATAGAGCACTTGCCTGGCATGTGTGAGGCCTTGGTATAAATCCCTGCTAATTGGAAGGCTAAGTCAGAAGGATCTCTTGAGCTTAGGAATTCAAGACCAGTGTGGGGAAATATGAGATCCTGTTTTTTTAAAAAAGAAAGAAAAGCATAGAAAACACATCCTAGCACTCAGGTGGCTGAGGCAGAAAGGTCATCATGAATTCCAGGCCAGCCTGCACTACATAGCAAGACACTATCTTAAAAAGATAAAAAAAATAAAAAATAAATAAAAAAGAGATTAGAGGCTAATAATGTCTTTAGCCTTTTTTGGTCTGCATTTGTGTTCCAGAATTACCTACATTTTCAAAAATCCCTACTGCATTCACATTTTCTTCTTTTCCTTCATAACTTCAGTAGTTTTCTATTTTTTTCCAGTATGCAGCATCTTTATGGTCTCACTCCAACCACCAAAGCTCAGAAAAGAAGCTGGTAACCACTCTAAATAACATTTATAATCTTATGAGAAGGATTTTTTTTTTTTTTGGCTGGCTTAGGCTGCCTTAAGGGCAGGTCTGGTGCAGCATGTGGAGCTGGGGATCAAACCATGGTCCTCTGCACTTGACTGTTTGCCCAAGCAGGCTATTTAAACCATTGAGCTAACTCACAAGCCCTCATTTGTAATCTTATGACTTCTAGGGTATCTCCCAATAGACAGTAAAGTCTGCCATTTCTTTTTATAACAGATACACCAAACCTTGTGTGATAAAATTTATAATTGTTCATAATTCAGTGATCTGAGGAACTGGAGACTGAACTTGGTGTTCATATCCTGAGCTACATTCCTAGTCTTTTTTTTTTTTTTTAATTTTGAGAAAGGGTCTCCCTAAGTCCCTAAATTACCCAGTCTAAGCTTGAAGTCATGATCCTCATGCTTCAGCCTTTATTCATAAACCTCTTGAATTTTATTTCTATTTATTTATTATTTTTATTTAATTTTTTCATGTGGGTTACAGAGGTATTGGGCACAGGAAGTATCAAGCTACATCAATATCAATAAGACAAGAAATCGGGCTGCTGAGATGGCTCAGTGGTCTAAAGCACCTACTTAGAACAAGCTAAGCTAAGCAAAGCAAAGCACAGGGACCGCGGTTCAATCCCCCAGCACCACATGCCAGCCAGCCCCGCCCCCTGGTGGGCTGAGCTGGCCACACACACACTAAATAAATAAATAAAATAATTCCAAATTTCTAAAAAAAAAAAAAAAAGACAAGAAATCAAAGACAGCTTTCGGGACCCCTCCACCCCTCAAGAACCAGCTCAAGTCCACCACGTGAGTGAGAACTTCTGCCTTGCTCTCAGGACCCCTCCAGACCCAGACCAAGCCCAGGCCCTGGAGTGTGTGAGAGCTTCTGCACTCCCCTGTGCCCGCTGGACCTCTCTGGACATAGCCCAGGCCCTCTACGTGAGTGAGAACTTCTGCCGCACTCTCTGGACCCCTCCAGACCAAGCCCAAGTGAGGGCACAATCAATGTGTGGGAGAGCTTCCGCACTACCATGTGCCCAAAGGACTTCTGCGGAACCATCCCAAGCCCACTTGAGTGAGACCTTCCTCCATGCTCTAGGGACCCTACAGCCCTCTGGATCCAGCCCAAGCCAGTCCTGTGCACTTGTGGGACCCTCCAGACCCAGACCAGGCCCTGCAAGTGTGTGGAAGAGCTTCTGCTGTACCCTGCACCCCATGGACCCCTGCAGACCCAGCCCAGGCCCGACAGAGAGGCCTGAGGTGAAATGCTGCAGCGGAAGTCCCTGCAGAGAGACTAGGGGATAGAACCACCCAGCTAATCCAGGAGCAGAACATCTTGCCAGAGGGGAACAACAGGTTCACTTGCAAGGGGTTCAGCAGGAAGGAGCTGAGCATAGCAGCCAGATCCAAGCCAGACACAACAGGATGAAATCAAACTTTTTAGATCTGCACCTGAATTTCAGTAAGTGCTAAGGTTATAACTGCATGAAAGCTCTACACCAAAGGTCAGAGGACAGTGCTATACAAAGTGACAAAGAGAAGGAGCAAAATGCAATCTCAGGCCCAGAGCCCACCTAGAAAAAGTACAGAGGACACTAGCACAGAAGAAATTCTGTATCACACAGCTGAAATATCTGAATCAATAGTGTCTG